TACTGGGAAAAATATTAAATTCTTTTCAATTTTCAATTTTTGTTTAGCATAAATTAAAAAGTCAAAGTGGAAATTTCAAACTAATTTGGATCAAAGCAATTTAAAAATTTCACACATTTTTTTTACTGCTGTTTTGGAGTAAATATTAGCTTTTATTATTTCAAGAGTGCAAAATTTATTTTTCCGATTTGTGGAAATCCAAGAACTTGGAAAATTTGCAATTTGTTCCAATGAACTTGAATCGACAATGAAAAAACATTTGAATTACTTAAAATTCATCAAAAATCGTATTTTTCTAAGTAATTTATTTACTCTATTTATTTATATACCTATATTTATTTTATATAAAGGCACAACAGATCGTACTGTCTATTCTTGTATTATAAACAAACATTTCAATATATATATGATTTAATATAAATATAAATAAATTTTAGATTTCCTCTGAGAGAAACTTTTTGTATTATAGACAATCAGAGAAGAAGAAAATGGATCGGTTGCAAATACAGATATGCTGTTAGCTTATTATATTAGCACTTATTGTTCTATGTAACTACTGTTCCCCAAGAAGAAGTAGCAGTCGAGGCAGATGTAGGGCAACTTCAGTGCGCTCCACTTATTCCCAATGCCATTTTCTAATTACGTTAATTGTTCATAACATGACGTTTTTGTTTGTTGTTGTTGTCTTCAGCGGTTTTTGAGGAGCTGTGTGGCACAACACAAAATTGTTTCCCCGAACGCAATACAACAACAACAACATTGCCGACACACACCCACAAAATACAAACACTCAAGAACAGAGTAGTGAGGAAGAGATCTCCGTCATGGATCTATGTGGATTGCTTGTGGCTTATTTTAGCTGACTTTAAGTTTATGAAGAATTACGAGGAAGGCACTTAAATGAATTGTTGCTGCGTATGCTGCGCGTATGTCTGGTCCATAAAAATTTTATGACCCATTGATAGTGCGAACAAATCTAGAGAGCAACAACCAAGCAGCCACCTTCGCCCCGCCGCTGACATGCGCCTCCTCACATGTCTACCCTTGCGGCCGCCCACCTTGTGTTGTGTAGAGCAGGTGAAGCAAGTTTGACAGTTGATTTTGAATTTGATTGAAGCCAAGTGCAATTGGCTGGCCCGATCTTCGGTTGAGCAGATTGTTTATGGCATTTCGCAAGCATCGTTTGGCATCCATTAATCATGACTGAAAACTGCGCCGATGCCTAACCGATTTTTATTGTTTTTTAAGCAACCAACAAGAGGCAACATTTTCCGCTCATCTCCTTCTCATTTTCATTTTCTTCTCTTCTCTATGTTTTTTTTGTTCCAAGTCCGTCAGTTTCTATTTTCATTTAATAGACATATTTGCTTGCCTCGGAAAGTTTTGCGCTTTGTTTATTTGTTGAATCAGCGCCGTCAAACCCATAACAACAATAGCGCAACCACATCCACGTATTCTCATCCACATCCACATCCATGTCCACGTCAGTGTTGGTAATGTGTTAACAGAGCAGATAAGTCGAGCGCTGAGCGCCTGAGACTTGTGCGCAAACATTTTGACAACTTGTGAACTTTAGGACGCCAGTCAAAAAAAAAAATAAAAAAAGAAGCTACTTCTCATACGCACAGTGGTCCGCGAAAACCATAAATACCACACACAAAATAAAACGTAACCCAACGTCGACAAAATTATGCCGAAATCTCTTCAGGCACTCACAGAATTGAACGAAAAATAACTCTGAAATGTTTTATAAACAAACAAAAATATATAATGCGTCAAGCAATGTTTTGTTCACATCGAGAGCAGAGCAACTGGAGAGCTGCAAAGCTGGAGTTCCTGCTTCTAAATACATATATTGATATTTAAGCTTAATCGGAATAATATTTTTGATTTTATGACACAAACAGAAATAGCCGGAAGACCTAAATTGACGACTTCTAAAGGCATTTTATAAAGGTTTCACAAATATTTTCCAAATATACATTTTTACTTTCATTTTTTATTTTCTTATAAAATGTAGAATGAATTTTAAATATTATTTATGCTTTTATAAAATATTTGCATATTTTGTTTAATAAAATAATATTTAAATAATATAAATAAATAAATATTTATTAAAAAGGCTTTTAGTAAATTTTTGAGATAAGATAAAAATGAAGACAAATACACAAGATTGATGAACTCAGTTAATATTGGACAACTTTTCTAGCTCAACAAATCTTAGACAAAAATGTATAAAAAAGAAAAATTGCCTATGTTTTTTAAGTTTTATTCCTATTTCTAATAATTCTGAATAAATATTAAAAAAAAAATTAAAATATGTAAATATGTTATATATTAAATAAATAAAAAATACATATATTTATTTTGAAATATATTTATAAACACTTTTTAATTTATTTAAATTAATAAACAAACATTTTTTACTTTAAGTATAATTTAAATAAAACATAACTAAAATCTTATCATTTAAAAAAGAGCTTGAGTAAAAAGTGTTTAGTAAAAGTAATAATAATAAGACTATGAACACTATCTTCAATATTCTTCAATATTAAGCAAATTTCTCTGTTGTTCTATCTACTCAAATCTTAAAGAGCATACAAACTTCGTATTCTGCTGAAGAGAACTTCAACCTTGTCACATGCTGAGATACGTTTGTGGGATGTGTGTGAGGGCGTTTGCTTTGCAGCCGAGGCGCCGTCCGAGCGATCGCCAGCAGCACGAGATTAACACGCCATGCTCTAAATTCTGCTGACTGTTGACTGACTAAGCTTTTGGTAGCAAATGCTGCCACTGCTGCTGCCGCTGCTGCTGCTGCTGCGACTCGACAGAGCGCTGTGAAATGAAATCTGTTTTATTGTATTTGAGAATGATTAGCCGGCCAGATACGAAGACGAGGCGTTCTTACGCGAACGTGAAGATGGAGCTGAAGATGTGAGCCCCCGGAACGGACTCAGTATGCAAAGCAAGATGACACGACCAACTGAGCAACTGTGAAACTGTGCGCTATACAAAGTGGCACAGTTTTACGAGCCTGCGACTTTTGGGTCGACAGTTTCTTACCTGCCCGTAGCCCGTAGCCCGTGGCCCGTTGTGGCCTAGCCCAACAACCAGAGCATGGCCAGCGAGACAAAGTCGCTAACCTTTTTTGGGGTTTTATCGCCGGGGCACAGAAACACATAAAAAAAAAAAGAAGAACACAACACAGATGACAAGTTTGTCGCGTGTAAACAATTTGCGGTTGTCCAAAAAAGGCGGTGCGGGTGGTGAGAGAGAGACAGAGCCGCAGAGCGAGAGCTCGAAGCTGGTGGGGAGCATTGCGATATCAGTAGAAACGGATATCAAGAGAAGTAATGCCTTTACTGGCTAGACGGTGTAGGAGTTAACAGTTAGCGCCAATATTATACGAACAAAAGATGTTGAGGTAGGCGTAAGGCACCTGAGATATAAAGTTGTCGATTTCACATTTGAATAAATAAATAAATAGAAGAATTAAGACAGTAAAAAAAAGAAAAATTTTGATTTTGAATATGGCAAAGGCATAAAAATCGCATTGAAAACAAATTTCTGACTATAAAATTGCAGAGGAAAACGAATTCCAATACAAATTAAGATACGTGTTTAAAACTTTGATAAAAAGTGGTTTGCATTGTTAATCGATCTGGCACTAAATGGACTACTTATAGCATAGGCTGTGCACACTTGGTGCACATACAATTGGCGGCAACTGTATGGGCTGTGGGCAAAGCACACAGTCGTACGCGCAGTACATTCACGTATCTACAGATACATTAGAAAATATCTCAAAAAATCAACAAAATAACAGCGACGTCGACGGCGACGGCGACAGCGACAGCGAACAGCGGCGTCAGCGTTGCTGTTGTTGTTGTTGTGAATGTTGCTGCTGCTGCTGCTGTTATTGTTGTTGTTGTTGTTGGCGAGCGCACAGAACGCGCATGAGTGAAATACATTTTCACGCTTCTAAACAGAGCAGCACTAAGAACAAGAGCAACGGCAGCAGAAGAGACTTTTTGACTACGACAACAACAACAACAACAATCAGAAGAAGAGGAAGAAGAAGAAGAAGCAGCAGCAGCAGAAGCACCATTCATAGGCTATAGCCGGCATTTGTGCTCCCGATGCCAAACGCAGACGCAGATCAGTCAAGAGTCAGAGCGGAGCCAGCGTCGATCGCAGTCGCATTCGCAGTTCGCAGTGGCAGTCGCATTCGCAGTGTCCGGACGTAGACGCAGAGACGTACAACGGGTGACGGACGGAAGGCGATGCCGTAGATTGCGAAGTGCTTTTCGCCAAACAAACACGAAAAGTGTGCGCCACTATTTTCAAATCCCGCAGAGCGTCGCGAGCTGTGGCCGGCAACGGAACAGAACACGCGAGTCCCGATACAACTCAGCGCACCCAAAATTCGCAGCAGCAACACCAAACGAAACACACAACAAACAACAAGAAGACGACGAAGAAGAAGAAGAACAGCGCGAGTGTGTGTTGTGAGAGTTCGTTCAACGTCGCGAGTTTTTGTGTTTTTGTGTTTTTTTGTCGATCGGGTTCCCAGGGCCGAAGAGCATGGGAAAAACTGGCTAAGGATACGGCCCCGCGCAGGCAATAATCGGGAACAGAACATCCAGCAGAAGAGTGAAGAAGCAGAACAACAACAAAAATAAGAAACGAAAAACAAAAAACAAAAAGCTGAAACTGAAACTGGAAGCTGAGCTTCAGCTTTTAGCCAGGCCCTGCGCTTTGATTAAAGCGCGCGTTTAATTTCATTTTTTACGCTACTCCAAGAAGAAGTTTTTTTGGTGCGGCTCCACCCTTCCAACTATTTTTCAACATTTTGTGCTTTGATTCGCTGTTCACATTTTGGGCCCTGGCCAACTAGCCAACTGGCCGACTGGCTGCTTTTGGCCTGGACACGACAACAACAACAGCAACGCCAACAACGACAACGACGACAACAACGACAACAACGACGACGACGACGACGGCGACGGCGACTCCTGCGCTGGCTGGTTCCTTGGGCGCTGCTCAGTACGCCGGCAGCTTTCTCCGTGTGCGTACCAAACAGCGCAGCAGCTGTGCCTGAGATAAAAATAAAACTGAAGTAACAAAAGTTGTAACACTAAGAGATCAGCATCATGATGATCTTGAACTCTTTGTGATCGCTCATTGCTCTGATCGCAGATCGCTGATCGTTGATCGATTTTCGCGCCGCAGCTTTTGTCGCCTGCACGCATTGAGTTCGTCAAGTGCGGCAGTCTCTTACCTCTAGCTTCACTTCACGCCACGTCGAACTGAAAGTATCTCAACGCTTGACGCTTGACGCTTGATTAATTCGCTCGTCGGCAAGCTGAAACTTAATTTAATTTAGTTTTGTTTTTGTTTTCTTGGCTCGTTTTGCGAAATATTCAAATAAACACATCTCGTACTCGCACTCATCGCGGCCGCAATAAAAACAAACCTTTAACTACCTGCCCAAACACTGAAACAACAACAACAACAACCAACACATTAACCAACAACAACTCTCGAGACTGGGCCACATTTGTTGTTGCCGCTGTTGCGGCTTCGGAGCGATATGCGGTTATTCATGGTAATTGCAATTTTAATATTTGCAATGCCAATGACGGGATTCGGCTGGTGAGTTCTCCACTTACAATCTACTACAACAACAAACTAAACTTCCTATATAAGTGTTTGGCTTAGTGTAAAACAAAAAATAACTATGAAATACAGAATTTCCTTTTTATGTCTACTATAAATGAGTCAATTGAAAATGTTGATGCAAGATGTAAGCAAAAGTCAGAGCGAACAGAGTAGTATCTGAATCCTAGAAGAGCTAATGTGAGATGGTCAGAGGGGATGGGGATGGATAGAGGGGATTTTAGGGCAAGTGCTTGGTAGGTTCCTTAGACAATGATAAGAGAGAAGAGAAGTGATGCTTAGAGACAAGAACTATTATTTTCAGATATGCCACATGTCTTTAACTAAACGTTTTCGGACTTTCCATGATATCAAATGTAACCAATAAGACTTCTTATCTCTGATACTATATATGCTTACGAATGTTAAAATGATGAAGAGATATATCAATATATTTAAATGTAATTAAATGAGGGAAAACATTCATATTCCAGCAAAAGATTCGAAACCTTGCCACTAGCAGTTATATACTTGCATGATCAATGAAGATCAGTTCGATATTTCTTATAAGCCAAAAGCTTACTTAACATTTCATTGCTTATTATTCAATATAAGCTTATATATTTTAACAACTATAAATTTACTACTAAGTTTCTTTCTATTTTAAATTGCTTAAAGGCAAATCAAACATCAATTTAAACATATTAAAGTCAGAGTATGGAGTCAATGTTTAGCTGCAATTACTCTCTGTAAACTGAGCTATGATTGCCTCTTTCAGTGCAACTTTATATAATTTTACATATATTTATTTTATTTATGAGAAATTAACAACTTTAAGTAAAGTTAATCTCGCAACTAGCCAATTGTCAAACTGTCCAGTACTATGATTATTTGCATTGCTTTTGGGCATACAAAGCTATTCGCAGTATTTGAAGCTGCTTTCAAATTGAGACCAACATTATAATATATATATATATATATATATATATATATATATATATATATATATATATATATATATATATATATATATATATATATATATATATATATATATATATATATATATATATATATATATATATATATATATATATATATATATATATATATATATATATAGAAACTGTCAGAGACAAACCTATTGAAGCAAAATATATGTTTCTGTTGCGTTGCGTTGTGTCAAATTCAATGCCAAAAAACCCATTACAAACGCTGCTCTTCACTGTGTCAGATCTCATCAATACATGAGCTTGAGAGATTGGCGTAACCGTTTCCGGTTTCGGGTATGGCCATAGCTATGGCTATTGGGGCCTGGGGTATATGGCGTATGTGCTGCTGACGACAACAAAACGGCGGGCAAACACAAAAAGTGCATTGAAATAGGTAGAAATTGCATGCGACATGAGCTCTACGCGCTTTGAGGTGAGTCAAAGCCAAAGCCAAAAGCGAAAATTCGGCCAGAGCCAATCGAGCGAGCGAACGATGTTGCCAGCGAGGGACCTTCAAAATGTGACGTTTGATTTAGATTTAATTACATGGCAATTTTTTTCTTTGGGCACGAAAAACGTGGCCGTAAACAAGCAACACTGCCCTGACCGGAAGTGATCGACTAGCAGGTACCCATTGAAACCGAAAAGCTAAGGATATAGCTATAGATATTTGAGAATCAAAGCAATCTTATGAGGAATATATGTCTGAATTTTGTTATTAGTTAATTTAAGTTGAGTCCATAGAAACTATTAAAAATATTATGAATATTAAGAATATTGAGAATATTAAGAATATTAAGAATATTAAGAATATTAAGAATATTAAGAATATTAAGAATATTAAGAATATTAAGAATATTAAGAATATTAAGAATATTAAGAATATTAAGAATATTAAGAATATTAAGAATATTAAGAATATTAAGAATATTAAGAATATTAAGAATATTAAAATATACAAGATATTAAATAAATCATTATGATATTTTTGAGCTTTATAAAAATATAAGAAGAGAACCATATTATTATTTAAAATCTATTAACCTATATCTATATCTATAACTATCAAAACGCCAATTAAAAGTTTTAGCTATATCATAGAGATAAACTGCTCAACACTTAATTTCTATATTTATAGAGAGTTTAATATGTCTTTTATTCCCAATTATACCCATTCTGAAACGTTTTATGTGTAGAGGGTAGCGGAAAGCGTAAAGTGCAGCCAAAATAAATAAAAAAGAAACACCCCCTGACCCTGCACCTGCCCCTGCGCCGGCCGCTGCCCACAGCCCGAATGACACTTCGAGCGGGGCAGCATTTGAATTTATGCGCGAAATTACAGGCCAAGATAAATAAAATGAAAGAAAATAAATGAAGAGCATGATGGGAGCAGACATCAAATAGAATGAAAAGTGTCGCATAGATGGGCGGTGGGCGGCGGGCGGCGCTGGGTAGATAGGCTATGCTGGTGCATAGGCTATGCACTTTGCCAAAAAGTATTTGCCAGCAAAGTGGCATCAATGAATTTAAATCTGCTGCAGCAGTAGCAGCAGCACAGCAGCAGCAGCAGCCGAGGTAGAAAAATTGTCGCTGTCAGCGGCAGCGACGATCGCAATGTCTCGACTTTTGGCGCAAGCATTTGTCATACTATGTTCGTGGGCGATCTTTATTGGGGGGCGTGGCATGGCTGGGCTGGGTGGCGTGGGCGTCGCGTGGCGTAGACTGCATGACGATCGAGCGTTTACATTCATTTTATTTGAGTTGTGTGCAACTGGGCGCAGCAGCCGCCACCAAAAGAGGCCACCTGCAACATTAAAGAGTTAACGCTGATCGCTGCCAGGGGTGGGGGCGTGTCGTTGTGCAGCTATGCCAATATAGATCCATTCAATTCAATTGAGAGCTATTGCAATAAATTAATTAAATAATTAGAGCTCAAGTTCAGGCGTTTGAGCTCGTCGATGTTGATGTTGCCGCGCCAATCCACAAAAATGTCGAATGCGAAAATGTCGAAGCTTCAACCTTAGAACATCGGAAAGATAATGAAAGAGAGATTAGCAATACTCTGATTCCAAGAGAATTATAACTTATTTAAAATGATATTGTCGTATATATTTAAGAATCTTATGTAAGAAAAAAATTTAACTAAAATTATATTATTAAGGCAGAAATGCTCAACTTACCAAGGAAGCAATTAAAGTTCAAGTTGGACTAAGATAAAAAGCTGTAGCTTAGATGATGTAAAGTAGAACAAATGACATATAGAGCTAGCTTAATTAATAAACTTAAATACTGAACCTTATAAAAGTGAAAGTTTTGACTGCAATCTACATTCATTAAAGAGTCGCAAATGCTTAAAATATAGATAACTTTGGTATTTCTGAATTTAATTACGACCTCAATTTCTAACCAGGAAGTCAACTCATTGGTAAAATTTCTAATGACTTTCCTTAATATAAATAAAATAAAAAGAAAATAAATAAAAAAAATCAATAAAAACCAAACGACAGACACACACACTCAGTTATCGATAACGATAATTAAAGCAACTATCGTTGTTTACGTTGATCGATTGAAACTGCAAGTTTTGTAATGTTTGAAAATTTCTCCCTCTCCCTCTCGCTCTTTCTCTACCTCTCTCTCTTTTCACTCTCTCTGTACGTCTGGCTGCACACACCGACAGATCTACTCGGTTGCTTAGATGTTTTGTATGCGTTATTTTCCAGCCAAATGCACTAAATCAAACGATCATTGAGATGATAATCAATGAGTGGGGCAGACGTATAGCGCGATGTTCCGTTAAATGAATGGAAATTCCAGCCGAAACCAATTACAGAGAACTTACTGCGAATTGTGGCTGATGCTGGGTGCCGGGCATGGCTGGAATTTAATTAAAAACAGAGCTGCAAAATGATGAAAATCTCATAATTTATGAATAACAATTTGATTTCGAATAAAATGAGCTCATTTCCGTTCACTCGATTCGTTTGACATTTACATTCGACTACTGGCTCGGTCTATTTTTGGGTGCTAGGTTTCCTGCTTTTCATTCATTCAATCGGACACTCACACGCATTCAATTGAAAACTCATTCATTCAGAGGGTTCATTCATAGTCAGTTTTTGGCACTCACAGCATGCGAAATGGCTATTAAAAACCACCAGGGCTTTAATGGGTTAAACAGCACTCGCACACATACAATCTCAGTGTGTGGCAGTGGCACTTAGTCTCAAGCTGTGTGTTGGGTGCGTTTGTTGTTCCAACAACGTCGCTCTGGGAGGCAACATCAACAACATTGCGCATACGCCGCGTGCTCCGTGTCAGTAGAGCAAAGCCATCGAAAATTGGCACACTTTCTGAGATAGCCAGAGCACTTAGAATAGATTAAGAATATGCCTCCCACATACACCCCCAATATGATTAGGTTAGCCGCTGGCTAACGAGCGTACAACTCGGCCAATTGCCAAAATTTAACGCAGACGACTTGATTATGAAAGAGGCTGGCAGCTCGACGAGCGGGTGGGTGGGGGTCACAGCTTTCGACACTTGCCAAGTGAGATGCGTTCGAGATGAGAGATATGTGGGGATCACTAGAGCTAGTTACCCGAGCCGAGTGCTCGTTGCATTTGGCACGGGTTCGGGCCGCTTCTTCTGCTTGGTTTTTAATTAAAACTCATGCAATTTGTTTATTTTGTTAATTTGTCTTTGCGCCTCTGTCACGTTGACAGATGCGTGCCTCGAACGCTGCATCATAATTAAAACGCATGACCGCGGACAAAAAACCGAAAGACAAAGCGAAATACGACAAGACAGACATGGGTCAAGTTGAAGGACTGACAAGAAAGGCCCTAGACCCTGGCCCTATCCCTAGCCTTGGCCCTGGGCCAAGGTAACTAGCAAATGTTCTTGTCATCCAATAGAGCCCAGAGATTTGAGTGATTTGATGGGGATGTCAGCTGAGATAATCAAAGCCAGTTCATGGAACGTTTGCGTTGAGTGCGCTCTATG